AAATGAAACCGGGCCAGATTTTTTTTTTTTTGGGTGCTTCTTCGTTTGGTTTTTCTTTTGGCTGCTTTTGATAAATATCGGCCTTTTTTTTTTTTTTTCTTTTTTGTTACCGTCACTAACTTTCTCTTTTTTTTTTTTTTTTTTATTAGGCTTCTGGCTTTTCGTTTCATCTTTGTGAAAAATCGGGTTAGGACAATGTTTGGGTTGGAAGATTGTTGCTTGTGACGATTTTGCTGTTGTTGGGGGCTCTGTTATGGTTATGGGTGTGTGGGCTGTTTAGTTGGTCGTTGTGGTATGATCGTTGGCAAAGTATTTTTTGATTAGTTTTTTTTTTTTTTTTTTTTTTATAAATAAAGCACATAGAGCTTATGATATTATAATGCAGTAATACCATACTGATTTAATAAATTAAAATGATGCCGTTGAATTTTTTTTTTTTAAAAAAAAAATAATAAATTTCGGGGTTTCTCCGGTGAATTCGCTCTTTTTTTTGTTATTCGTTTTGCGTATTTTTGTGTTGATCGACCAATTGAAATCGGTCCCGTAAGTCACATATTCACCATCGCAAATCGGTGGTTACGCGACTCACGTGATCGATTTTGATTGGTCGATCATGGGGGTCGCCATGGCGACAGGTCGCTCTAAAATAATGCCCATAGTTTATTTTTTATATAGTTTATTTTTATATAAAATTTAGTTTATTATATTTAGTTTTAAGCTATATATTATTATTTAAAAAAAAACAATTAGAATATTAATTATATAGTAGTTTAGCACTTTAAATCTTTAAAGAATAAGTTTATCTATTAATAAACTATAAATATTTATATAGTATATATCTCAGCAATAATTTTTCTAAATTTTTAATATTTAATTTTATTATTCTATTTATAGTATATATATATTATATAAGTATAATAATAGCAATTAATTTTAATAAAATATTTAAAAATAATACTGTATAATAATATATTAAATAATATAGTGCAAAATATAAATAGTAAATAGTGATAAAGAAGTAAAAATTCTTAAATATACTTTAATAAAAATAATACATATATATATTATAATTATTATAAATCTAGATACAGATTGTTTTGTTAACACTTATTGAATATATACTAAATTTAAAGAAATATTAATTATTAATAACAATATTTTTATTTATACAGTATATAAAATAGTACAGTCAAACCTCTCTATAGTCACACCTTCAGGATACAAAAAAGCGTGATTGTAAAGAGGTGTGACTAATATAGAGGTATTTTCTATATACTTATAAATAATTAGTAAAAATAAATTTGTAATTATACTAATTTTGTGACTATAGAGGAGGTGACTATAGAAAGGTTTGACTGTATTATATAGTAAAACTAATTATATCTATATATTTTATCTTTGATTTAATATAGCAAAAAGATCTGTATTTATTTTGCTTTCAGGTTAAAGAGTTGTATTTAGTAATTTAAATTCTAAGTAAATTTATTATTAAAATTTTGCTCAAAAATAATTGATTTATTTAACAATATTTTTTAATTTAAACTTTGATATAATATTAATAAAATTCTATAAATAACTAATTTAAAAAATATTATTAAAAATTATACTACTAAATTAGAATTGTACTTTACTATTAATTTAAGTTAAAAAGTTTTTCTAATATCAAGTTTTTATAAAAAAACTTTGTTAATATAGTATATAGAAAGTAGTTTATAGATAAAATATTAAGTTATAATTAATTTATTAGCTGATATTTAATTTTTATATTTCTTCTATACAATATTTAATCTTAAAATTTGATTGATTTTTAAATTTTTTTTTAGTTAATATATATTATAGTTTATTTATATAAAAAAAATTTTATAAATATAATTATATTAATTTTTTATTATATTAATTATTGCTTATAACTACTTTTAGTATAAATTTTTATATAAATAATTATATTTAAAATCATATTATCATTGAGAATATTTCTATAAAAAATTCTTAATTGCAGATCTGCATGTGATTGATAGAAATTACAATAATAAACTATAGCACTATATTTAATAATAAAAAATGATATATTTGTAATCTCCTTTTCCTTGAAGAATTAGATGTCAAGTACACATTTAACTTCAGAAAAACTAATAACAACTGGTACTATTGAATCAGAACTTCATTATGGGCTATATATATGTGATTGGTGGCTTTTTTCAGAAGAGAAAAATATACTTTATTCTATTCCTATAAGGTTAGGACTTGAAGTTCTAATTCAACTTAACAAAAAACTATTTGTTGTTCATGTAGTTTGTAATATACATAGTCCTTTACAACCTGGATATATATATGAAGAAAGTGGACAAAGCAGCAGTATTGTTACAAGTACTTCTGCAGCAATTATATCTTTTTATCAAACAATTTTTAGCATCAAAGCAAAATTTGCTGAGCCCGCTTATTTAGGTTTAAATCAAATTAAAACAGCACAAAAATTATTAGAAGGTATTATTTTTTGCCCTTTTATTGTTAATATAGAAAACTTACTTATTTTTGTATGTTCACTTGGTGAATTTACACATTCAAACCAAAAAAAAATTAGTCATTATTCTACAACATTTTTTCATAAATACAAATCAAAGCAATCAGCTTTCTTTCAATGTTTCAATAAAGATTCATATTTGATTACAATTTATCAAGATAGTCAAATTGTCACTGAATATAAGAACAATTCACCTAATGCCGTTTGGCAACAAATTGGAGTTTTGAAATCTATTCCTGGTGAAACTTTATTTGCTATAAATAACCTAACAATTTTATATAAATTAGAAGAATATAAAACCAAACTTCAAAAACCTATAGTTAAAGAATATACATATATAAATTGGATAATAAAACAATTATAGAAAATCTGTTTGAAAAATTTTTAAAAAAAGCAGTTAGCAAATCAATTGAAGAATAGCATCAAGTATTTCAAAGCTAGAAGCAACAAAAAAGTCATATAATCGAATTATATACTCACATTAAAAAATATATAGACAAAATCATGAGTTTCGAAGTCATGAGTTGTGGGCGTGGCATGCAATATTTTGTGCTGCAGAATGTACAAAAATTACTCTATACAACAAAGAAGTTTTTGAGGTAACTAGTAAATTGATATTATATCTTATCTGAATTAGTGATCAAGTAATGATAAATATATAGATAATAAATAGCCATATTAATAGTTATGATTTTTTGATCACTAGTTAAGAACTTTTTCTAACCTAATGAAATAGAAATTTTAATTAGTAGAAGCTAGTTTAAACAATTCAAATTTATAAAAAAAAACAACACATTTTTTATGATTTTTGTAAGGAAATCCAATCTTCCCAGTAACACACCTAATTAGATATACAAAATTATATAGTTAATATACTCTAACCTGGGAAGATTGAATTTCCTTATCCAAATTAGCCAATATAATGAATATTGTTTATAGATTTTTCAGTGTTTCTTATTTACTACAAATTTAACAATAATCTAACAATAATATATTAGTATAAATAATTAGGCATTTAAAAAATATAAAAATATTTGAACGTATATATAAATAGTACCAAATTTAAAAAATTTTCTACTAATTAATATTTTCAATCAGAATAATAAATATGCTTTAATTTGATTGATACAAAAGATAAATTAGAAATTTAGATCTATAAATTAGAATTTTAGATCTATAAATTCAAATTTTCCTTTGCATTATTCATTTCCTAAAATCTATTATAGTAGATATACATGTTCATAAATTATTCGAATAGCAGATTATTTAGATAAATTAGTAATATTACAAAAAAAGGCACTGACGTGATCTACAAGCAATTCAGGCCATATTACTATATTTAGACTATTCAGACTATTCAGGCTATTAATTTTATACGTATTATTTAGAATCTAAAAAGGTTTTTATGAATTTTTATAAAACTTTTTTGGATACCAGAATATAAATATAAAATTAATAGCCAGAATACAGAAATATAATCTGAGTAGCTTGTATTGTATATTATGTTATGTAAATTTTTGTAACATGACTAATTTATCTAAATAGTATAATATACGATATTGAATTTGCTAATTGAATAGAAAAATCAATTAATAAAAGATAAATATAATAATATAGGCCGAGTTTTGGACAAATGCATTTGATTCTGAAAAGGATTGTAATACTTTAAAAAGTCTATATGAAGATAGATTTTTGAATATACCAGTACAAACTTTGCTTGATAATAAAACACTTTGGGAATGTTTTCATAAAAGCTATGATTTAAATCCTAAAGAAATAGATGATAAAGTGCACATGCTATCAATTATTGTGGAAAGCTTTATATACCAAAAAATAATAGATAAATTAGGAGTAAAATAAATTTGTATAACTTATAATCTAATCTTTCAGTTCAAATTTGTAATAAAAGTTTAGTTTGACTTTTTTTTCTATTATACTAAAAGATTAGATTATTAAAACCCTAACATAATGTATAATAATAAATTTTATGCTGTAACTTAGATATCTCCTAATGCTATAAATGCTGCATAAAAATTTTCTCAGATTAATGAGCCCAGATGTATTGCATTAGAGAAGCCCAATATAACTCGCTCAAAAATATCTGAAGTTAAAGAAAAGGAATTTGAATTATTCTTTATTGACAAAGAAAATGTAAATATGAGTTCTTACAAGGTAGATGTTAAAACACAGTTATCTGTACTTTATTTGAAAGATCAAAAAAAGGCACTTTGGGAAAAATTTTCTACAACTTATCCAGATGGAATGAAACAAACATCTTTTATAACCCATTTTGAAAATAGTCATTTTCAGTATCGAGATGATCTAGGAAGATTATGTATAATATATAATAATTTTGAATATCAAACATTTGAAGATTTAATTGATCTAATTAATACAAACTTTTTTTCTAAAGCATTGCAGGTTAGTTGAATATAAAAAGAATTTTTTTTATCATAATCAATTTAGAGAATTTTTATTTGTATATCATGTATATATATATAGGTATATTGATATCTCAAAATTCTTAATATGAAATAACTTTGAATATAGTCAGAACTTGAATAATTACCAAAAGTTGTGATTATATAAAGATCAAATTTCGTGTTATAATATCTAAAACTAGAAAATAGCATAACTATTACAAGATCATAACTATATTGAGAGCGACTATAATGAAGTCTGACTATATTTTAACAAAAAATATTTTTGTTAAATTTTAGAATAAACTATAACTCTTATCAATTCTAAAGCTAACCATTACCCTAATCTTAAACAGAGTTAATTATTTGTCTTATAATTCATATTTTATACAAATTTGTAAATCAATAAATTATAACCATGTATAAACACTAAGTGTAAACTAATAAATTTTCATCAAACTAATACAATTCTTTTTAGGATAATCTAATTAATCAAGTAGAATTATTACGTCATCACCTAAAACAGAATTATGAAAAAGAATTAGTTGTTGATAGAAATGGTATAATTAATCATATAGATTATATAAATCATTGCTTATTGTTTGCATTTGGTGAATGTAAATCTCAACATTTTTCACGGTGCTCAGAATGTGATAAGTTATTTGGTATATTTGAATATCTAATGAATAAGCTTGATATTTCTTATAATACAAAGCTTATAGAATATCAAGAATGATTAATATGTTATTTAGCCTACCAAACCTGTAAAACATATTTAAATTCCCAATTTAATGCTATATTAAGTGAGCTTGATAATTATAGAGCAGTAATTGTAGTTGACTATAAGATGCAAATTTTACCTTCAATAGCTTGAGAAACAAAAAGCCAGTTCTTTGAAAAGTGAGGATGGACACTCTACACGACCTTGGTGTTTCAAAAAGATAAAAATAATAATGAAAATTTGGATATTCGGGCCTATGATCATTAAAGTACTGATACCAAGCAGGATGCTTAGTTTACTGCATCCTGCTTTGAAGCAGTATTCATGACCATGGAACCTAAACCTCGTTGGATCAAAATAATTTCAGATAATGGAGGGCACTATCATAATTCAGAGTTAATGGCAATTATTAGTTACTGGCATAGTTAGTATGATATAGAAGTACGCAGGTAGATTTTTCTTGAACCTGGAGAAGCAAAAACTACAGTCGATTCTCATCATGCAACAACAAGTAGATTTGATACTGCATATGAGTATTACCAAATGAAAATATCTAATTCTAAAAATAGATCATTATGAATTTTATAATATATTTTTTAGAATTGTATGTTTTCATTTGGTGACACTCACATCTAGTTGAAACTAAAAATTTAATGTATTAAATAGCATACATACAATACTATTCAACACACTACAATCAACTCTTTTTATCCAGACCCATTTATTCTATATATAAAAATATCAAAGTTCAGTTCTCAATAGTTGTTACATTACTAATCTGAACTTTATAATAAATTTACAAATGTTCTGAATCCTAAGTTTGGATTTGAGAGTTGGCTGTACTTGGTTTGTTATTTGATATAAAATTTACATTTCATATGACTTAGTGTGTATAAATAATAGAATGTTGGTAAGACCATGTAAATATTGAATTTTCATTAAACAATAAGTCGAATAAGCAATTGAATGACATTCTAAATGTGCTATTAAAACAAAAAAAAAATTAATTTGACCAATATATAATATATATTTCATTTTTTTTTACTAAAATAAATATAGTAATATCAATAATAGATTGCACATGCAATTAAGAGATACATTAGAGTTGGATGTAACCTTACTGATGAAGCAGACATTAAGTCAGCACTTCATAATTTGAGCAGAACATCTGTAGCATGTATAGAGCCAGATTGTAATGAAACAGTAGAGACATCAGAATTATTACAGGCCAAAAAAATGCAGGATCAAATTCAGAATTATTAGAGTAAGTTTAATATAAACTTTCTAAGATTAAAATTTATTAAAAGTAAGGCAAAAAGTTTTTTTTTATTAACTTTGACATAATAAGAAGGCTTAAATTAAAGACTTGCATATAATAATTGTAAATTTTATTCACGACAATGATGTACAAGTACTTCTAATACAAAAGTTAACCATATCATATTTGCTATACTCGATTTTTTTAATTCTAAATACTAATTCATAATGCTAAAAGTTGATCTTAAAAGTCTTTATGATAAACCACTAGTCAAGATGATAAAATTAATATGAATTTATCCTAATAGAAGTTAGATTAATTTGTGACCAAATGTGCTGAATGTATAATTATTATAGACAGCATTATGCCAAAATTAAAATACTAACTAAACATCAATTTAACATGCTGATTACTTACAAAATGGCACTGATAACTACTAGACATTCAGCACATTTGACAGTAATTAATCTAACTTCAATCAGAACAAACTTATATACAGCTATACTGATTTTATCAGTTACTAATAAGCTTAGAATCAAGATTCCTTATTCTTAAATATAAACAACCTTACATTTTCCTGTCAGACCCTAGAATTTTTCTTACATAGTTACATATTGAAGACAAAAAAAAAATTTTGAATAAGTATAAAATACCAAAGATATAAAAGATATAGCAATAAGAATATACAACCCGATATCTAATTTTAAAGATCTCAACTCAAATAGTCAACTGATATATAGAGCAAAAATATGGTGCAATTTCTATTTTCAATAACATAAATTTATATATCCATGTATTTTATGATTAATAGAACTAATCAACAATCAGAAATTAGCGTCAAGAAAAAAAAATCAAAACCATATCTGGCATTTCTAAATTGTTTGAATGGTCCTGGCCTGTAACAGGCTAATATGCTAGATATATTTGCGCTCACTCCCTTTTTCATATAGGTGAATGGACCAACTTTCAACCTACACAGATTGCTACCTTTTGTAAAAGACCTTCTCCAATATTCTCTGAATCATCTGTGCCAAAAACTGCATAGAAAGCACCGGTTTCTAAAACAACAAGTAATACAATAATTAAATATTATTGTTAAAGAAAAAAAAAAAAAACTTATTTTATTATAAAGATACAGAGCTATTGAAGAATAAAGGAGCCGAAGAAATAAACAATAAATTAGGTAATATAGACAAGATGAGTACTATCAAGAAAATCGAAACTTCATCAAGTTTATTGTTATTATTTACCCATGATTGGTGATATATGATATGTGTTACATATTATATATATTACTGAATCAGGTAAATAATAAATGATAACCTGGAAGCCTGAAGTCTTATTTTCCTTTGGCAATACTCATATGTATTATTGAAATACATATAGTTTACACTAACTACCAAAATTAGTCAGTACTGATAGTAATGATGAGTTGTTTGATAATATGAAAGGTAATACTATATATATGTAAATACATTATTCTGCTGTATTTGATAATCTTATGAATATTCTTACATATTGTATATTCTTATTATCTACCCAAATACTTGCTTATATTATCTAAAAGACATAAGGTAATTAATAATAAGATCAATACGTAATTAAGGTCATCTTGATTAGTCTTTGCATACTAACTAATTCTGTAGCATTGATCAAGAGTTTCCTTTTAATGTTAAAAGAAAATATGAAGCTTGGCAATAAGGGTGCAGGAAAGTGTATGTCAAAAAAAGTACTACAATATTTGCAGGGCTTTTTTTTTGCGGATAACTTAAAAGCAGCAGATCGATACTCTCCTAAAGACATGTATGTTGCTCTTAAAGACTTGGATATAAGTAGAGAGCTTACTTTTGAAGAAATACTAATGGTAAAAACCATTAAAAGCTGGATTGGAAGATACAGTGCAAACTTTAAAAAAGATGCAGCTGAAAAAGCACTATTAAAAGATAAGAGCAATGATAACGATTCTACTATAATACATAACAATAATGATAACAATAAATGGTAAACATATAGTTAGAAGGTAACTAAACATGCAAAGTTATATGAAATCTTCCTTTCCTTCATACAAAACTTTTTTTAATGATAAAATAATAATGATTCATAAATATAGAGGGTTTCATTAGAATTCGAGTCATATATAGCAAATATATATTTTTTTTTTAATGTTAATGGTGAGACCATGTCTCTGTCTTTATTAAAATTTAATTTAACTCTCTTATAAAACAAAAAATATACAGCTCTTTTACAAAGAAAAGAGAATATGACTCTTATACAAAGAAAAGAATATATTTAAACTTTATATCCTAAGATAGCAAGAAAAGAAACTCAGACTAATTTATCTGCGGCCTAAACCAAAGTAATAATTAAATAACAATGTATATAGTAATCATTAAATAACGATGTAGTAATTAAATAACAATGTAGTAATAATTATGTAGTGTGAACATATAAATAAAAATGTATGAAAGAAGAAATTTATAGTTTTTCATGTAATATTATTCCAAATAAAAAATTCTTATTCCCTGTTCAATTATTATCTTATTAGCTCTAAACCAGATATTTGGTATACTTACCTTATATCGATTAACCTATAAACATAAATTAATTTTTTTAATCATTATGCTTTGTAGTAGACCACCCTTAGAGGAAATTCGGAAACATTTTGAAAAGATTGAAAAAACTGATAATCAAAAAACAGCTCACCAAAAATGTAAATATTGTAAAACTAGTATCATAAACTTGATTGATCGATTAAAGGCTTATTTAATTAAATGTAAAAAAATTCTAAAGCATATGAAAGATTTATTATGTTCTAAAATACAAAATAACTCTTTTGGCTCAGATTCTGAAGACTTCAATACAAATTCTTTTAATCATAATGATGCAAATAAAATATTAGCAAGATTTTTTTATTTAGCTGGTATCACCTTTACAGCAATCAAAAATCCTTTTTGGTATGAGTTTATACAAATTGTACAACCAGCTTATATTAGTCCAAATCGTCAAAATTTGGCTAATAATTTACTAGATGCAGAATATCAGATTGAGCAACAAGATTTAGACAAAGTACTAGAAAATACATCAACTATTATCTTAGCATCTGATGGATAGTCAAACATTTGGCGAGAATCAGTTTTAAATTTTATTTTATATCTTCCTAATGCTAAACCAGTATTTTATAATACCAAATATACAGGTTCTAATTTATATATAGCAGAATATATTTATAGTGAAATTAAATCTGTATTGAAACTATTGGGCCATCCAAATTTGCTAGCATTATAACTGATAATATTAGCACAATGTGTACTGTTTGGAGATGGCTAAATCAAGATTATCCAAAGCTAATTTGTCTAGGGTATAATGTACATATTGAAAATCTTTTAGTCAAAGATATTCTCAAACTTGAAAATATAGATAAATTGATGGCTCAAGTAAAACAAATTATCAATTTTTTTTATTCACATCAAAAAGAGGAAGCAATTTTATTAAGTCAATCAGACTCAATAAGTTTAGTTTAACCAAGTATTATTCGCTAAGAAACTTGCTTAGCTTCAATCCAGTCTATTCATAAAAATAAATTAGAGCTTCAAATGTCTGTAATACAATGTAATAAAATTGATCAAAATCTTTATGAGCAGATTTTAGATAGCACATTATGGAAAAATTTAGATACATTAGCATCTTTTTTAGAACTGTTTGTTAAGCTCATATTCTTGTTTGAATCTAATACATTATTACTTTCTCATGCATATGATGAATGAAAAAAACTTCAAGAATTGATTAACATACAAAACTTGGATTCAGATTTTAAAGTGCATATTATTACTAGTATTCGAAAAAGTTAGCACAGGTCAGATTCAGATTTGTGCGAATCCAAACCGTCAGATTAGGTTTGGCCCCTGAAATGTCAGATTGGGCTCAGATTGAGCGGGATTAGGCCTAATTTTAGGTCATGTCTTTATATAATCACTCTATATGATAAATTTAAATTTATTACATGATAAGTTCGAATGTATTACATCTTGTGTTACAATATAAGTGATCAATTCGAATTTGTTATGTGATAAATTCGAATTTATCATTTACATTATGACAAATATATGTGACAAACCATCAGATTGGCACGGATTACTCCCGGATTCAATCCGAATTACGGATTCGGATCAGATTCGGATCAATTCCAGATTAACCAGGATTTTTAATCCGTTTTTAAACACTAATCATTACCTTAATTAAAAATCAATTTGAATTTGCCTTTCATCCTGCAATAGCAATCGCAAATCTTTTAGAGCCTAAGTAATATTATATATTTATTTGTTTATATATTATACAACTATATATATAATAACTGATAATGTATAATTTTTTTTTATAGTTTTTGTGACAAGTCTTTAAAACCTGATGATCTTGAAATGATTATTGTATCATACCTTGAAGAAGTTTATACACCTGAATTGGCAGCATATATAAATTCTATATTTTAGCAATAATATATTGTTATAATTATTATTTATTAAATTAACATTTATTTTTATTATTATTAAAATTTATAGAATCATACAAAAATATATTACCAAATCTAATAAATTTTCAAGAACACTACTTTGGGCATTCATTGAACATTCAAATCCTGTTAGCTGGTGAAAGTCCAACTTTGCAAATAAGTTTCCTGCTGTGGCTGAACTTGCTTGTCAAGTTTTATCAATTCCCACATCTTCAGCTTCAGCTGAATGTAACTGGTCTAATTTTGGGTTTATTCACAATAAAAATCATGCACGATTAAATAATGATCGAGTAAAAAAAACTTGTTTCTGCTTTCCAAAATTTAAGAATTCAAAAGGAGATTAATAATGATAAATGGTTTGAAGAGGATGAAAATTAAATTTACAATAATTATTTACATTCGTATAGCAAAAAAAAGCAAAATCATGTAGTAATAAAATTAGTATTACAATATTTGTAAAATGTACATCACTATTTTCTTAAAACAAAATAAAGCAACTGCATTATTGGCTATATTATAACTAATTTACTGATTTAATTTTTGAATATATCAATTTTCATAAACTATATTAAAACATAAATCGGGCTAAGATATTCATATATATATATATTTCGATAAAAAAAATAAAATGTCAGTAATGCTGAAGTCAAAAATTAACGGTAATTTTAGCTCCAGCCATCAGTGCTATAATCACCGATGTTTTAAAACAATTTATTAAATCAAGTTAAAAATCATAAAAATCATTTAAAATCGTTTTTTTGCCATCCCTAGTAATAACATAGATACTCCGATATGTACAGTACCGGACAGTAAAACACATCCAATTTTATAATAAAAACTTTAAAGTGTTATAACTTTTTTAAAACAAGTTAAATTAAAAAACCCTCTGACAAATTAATAGATTTTTAGATAAACTAAATTTCTGTCAAAGGATTTTTTTTTATTCTTTGTTTTAAAAAAGTTATAAAGGATTAAAGTTTATGAGTTCAAAAAATTGGCGTTTAATATAGAAAAAAAGAAAACATTTTTTTAATCGATTACGCAAAAATTAGTCAATCAGAATTGATTATATAAGCATCAAAAATTGGCGCTCTTATGTATAGATTGGATGTCTTTTTCTGTCCCGTACTGTAGAACCAATCAGAAGTGGTGGGGAAATTGTAAATTCAGTGAATTTTACTACCTGTTCTAATATAATTAGGTCATCGGCACTAATATTAAAGAAAGTTCTAGAATTTTAAGTGGTCGACATCACGTGGCGGACGGAAAACATTGCATTTAGCATGTTTACCTGTACGCTCTGGACAATTAAGACTCATTATTTTAAATCCAAAGTCTGTAATATTTAAGTTCCAGGTTTATATAAGTTAAAAAAATTACTAGTTTATTTAAAATTTGTTTTAGTAATTGCATACATAAAGAAAAAATAAAAATTAGTTCCAGTTAACAAAAATAAGCAATCCGTGTATTAATAAAGCGAACGAAGTTTTATATTGCTAGATTGCATAGTTTTTTTAACTAAAATTTTATTGATCACATGGACCAAAATCGGGGTGTATTATTTTTTTAGGGTAGGTCAAGAAAAAATGAATCAAGTAGGTCAAGAACAATGTTTTCCAGGATGGGTCAAGAAAAATGGTTTTGCTACACTGAAGAAATCTGGATGGAATAAAAAACTATATACGCATATATAGTTTTAAATTATTATATACTTAGTGACGAAAATGAAATCACTTCTGAATAACTAGATTCTTTAAACTGAGAAACAATGCATTTCCGTCAGCAACAGTTTGCCCTTCTAAAGTTTCTAAAGTTCCTTCAACAAAACCTTTTCTGCCTTCAAGTTTTGTAACTTTGCATTTTCCCACTACAAACTGATTTGCCCCTAATGGTTTACGAAAGTTTATGTGTAGATAAGCTGTTGCTCCATTTTTATTAGGGAGAAAAGGAGTTACCTTCAATTATGGCAAACAGTCAATAACGATAAGAAATTAACATTGACAACAATATTAGAATATTATTAAAAGTTTTAACTTACAGTCCTTGCAAATAATTCGTCCATTAAAGTTGATATCAATCCACCTATAACAATATGTTATTATTATGATTATGCGTACGCATGTTAAGCCAAAAATATACTTACCATGAACAATTCCTTCATGACCACACATATCAGAACCAATATGAGAAATAGCCACTAATTCCATCTTTTCTGTTGAAAAAAAGACAATATGTCTAATTGCATATTTTCCCTTCCCCTGTAAAGTGCCGGCTGTAAAATGATGCGATCTACGTTCAGGTGCTACGTTATCATATGGATTTCTTACTTCTTCGAACGTTGGATCTGATCGTAATAATGATACTATTGGCAATTTATTCGCTTGCGATTCTAAAGAATCAATATATGATTTTTCTTTTTCACGTTGCGAAACATATCTTGTTAGTCTTGTTGCTACAATGAGCAAGGCGGAAACACCCACTATTAAGTTGGAAATATTTCTAGTAGCCCAGTCTTTTTTTATCCAATTACGAAATGTTTCTGACATATTGTAAATAGCGTACTAAAGTTTGAAGAATGGTTCATTTTATAATTTTTTTTTTAATTTTCTTACATTGGTACATAATATTACATCTTTATAATTTAACATATCCAATTACGTAAATCATATGCCTTATTACAAACCTTACAAACCATCATCACATGAATTTAATTCGGAATATTATTCAACCGCTTTTCATTGCCTATATCGATATTACGCAGATCAGTATATACAAATCTATGTAAGGAATTACGTAATAAAAATTGATACGTACGTAGTACAATTTTTAGGATTTACTTATTTGTGACGGCAAATACAACCAAAAAAGGAAATTTAATTTTGTAAAACTAGCTCTTAGGCCCGGGCGATGCCCCGGGTCACAGTCACAATTTTTTCTAGTTTTAAATATTAGTTTTTTTAGTTTTTTTGGCTCACAGGCCCAGGCGATACCCCTGGGGCGCGGTTTTAATTTTTTTTATTAAGTTTTTTAAATTTTAGTTTTTAGTTTTTAGCCTCAGGCCCGGACGATACCACATAAGTTCAATTTTAATTTTTCTAGTTTTTAAATTTTTGATATATAATTTTGATTTTTAGTTTTTAACTTTTAGACTTAAGTGATGCTCTGAAAGTTCGATCTTAATTTTTTCTAGTTTTTAAGTTTTTTTTTTAAATTTAATTTTTGTTTTCTAATTCTTAGACCCAGGTGAAGCCCTAAAGGTACAGTTTTAATTGTTTTATAGTTTTAAAATATAAATATTGCACAAGGTTTAAGATTAATTTTTTTATAATAGTTATTTAATTTTATAATTTATTTATAATTTTTTAGCTCTAGATTTGAGTAATATCTTAGAAGTATAGTTTTAATTTTTTAAGTTTTTAAAAATTTATTTTTAGTTTTATTGCTGAAACTTGCAAATTAGCAACTTTAAAGCTACTTTAAAATAATTATAAAATAACTATAAAATAACTATATAGTTACTTTGTAGTAGCTATAGTTTTACATTTACTTTATGTTAGCAATATGCCTACTACTATTGATTATTACGTTACTATTATACTACTACTATTTTAATATACTTTTACTAAATTTACTATTAGTGACTACTATATTACTACTATATTACTATATTTTTACTATAAAAATTTTTTTATACAATATAGTAAAAGTATAGTAATATAATAGTAATATAGTAGTAATGTAGTAGTTAATGGTAGTAGGCATATTGCTAATATATAGTAAATATAAAACTATAGTCACTACAAAGTAATTACATAGTTATTTTATAGTTATTTTATACAGTATTTCCAATAAAAATAATATAAAAATACTGAAAATAAGACTTATTTCTAATACAAAAATAAAAAAATAGAATCTATTCTCAAGACCAAAGTGTATAATAACAAGGCTATAGTGATCAAAATATGGGGACCAACTGTTCTCATGTTTTGGAGTAAGAGGCAGAGTTTATATATTTTTTTCCAGTATATTAATTTAATATAAAACATAGTAATAAATTAAGGAAAGACACTTTTTATTACTGGAAGAGCACTCTTTACTATAAAATGAATACCTTTAAATAGTGGATAGACACCTTAGAATAATTAATTGGTGATTCGCCAGTCACCTGGTGCATGATCATAGTGTAATATGACGCAAATCACTATGTAAATCACATATACCCTGAATATGACATTCGCCCAAGGAAAACTTTTTTTCTTACTAAGATAATTGCTCTTCTCTATTAAGTAAAAATTGTAGAGCTCGTCAAGGCGCATCTAATGGCAGTAAGAACATCAAAATCGACCCAGTATTCGTCAAGATATCGCTAAAAAACGATTTGCCGACTATGTAAAATTCTATGTAAACAAACTATTGTTTATATAGAAATTTTACATAGTCAGCGAATCGTTTTTTAGCGATATCTCAACGAATACTGGGTCGATTTTGATGTTCTTACTGCCATTAGATGCGCCTCGACGAGCTCTACAATTTTTGCTTAATAGAGAAGAGCAAG